AGAGCCCTGCTCTAAATTGTATAGTTAAGAAAATGAGTGTGCAATTTGTTCCACATTAAGTTCTCATTTGCATAACGATTTCCACTCCAGCTATTCAATAATCAAAGCACTTTTGATTATTCCTTTAGCTACAACAGGTGCATTGTTGTTGTTTATATTGTTTGGGTGCTCTGTAATCAGTGTTGACTCCTAGTGACTACCTGGGTAAGTCCCTGCAATTTTCTTGGCAAGATTTCGGAAGTGCCTCCTTCCCTGGGTAAGAGAGAGCGACTGGTCCAAAATCACCTAGCTGTCTTTGTGTTTAAGGTGGGACTAGAACTCATGGTCTCCTGGGTTCTAGCCTGGTGCTTATACTGAAGTAGCTCTCATATATAAAGGTGCTCTTTTAAAGGTGCAGGAAACAATTGTAGTTCCTCCTTTTTGTTTCTGGTTCACAAACCATGGATATCATAGAAAAGACGATTGGGCCCCTAACGCTGCTATCCAGAAAGCGCAACCTATACTCATTAACTTCCTGGGCAGTGAAGAATGCTTGGAAATGAAAAACAATAGCCCCTGGTGTTAGCTACTTTTTGCCCTCCAACTGAATGGTGTGTTGGAGACTGTAATTCTCCATACTCCAAGAGCTCAAGTGAGAAACCAAAGGCAATATATTTTTCATCTTTCTAAGAAAAGGGCAGCTTCAGCTCACTAACTTCTTCCACATGATTAAGAGAGAGATTAACCAGCAGAACAATCCAGACAGGAAACAGTAATCAGTTGATGTAATCAGGGCTGTTGTGATCAGGGGTGATCACTTGAGTCTTAAGCCTGCCCTTGATTCATTACAGGAATCATTGGCACCAGCCTTCCTTCGTTTTGGCTGTTCCACATCTTCTATTCTCCCATCTTTTATCCTTTTACTCAGACCAACTAAAATAACATCTTAAAGTATGACTATTTCCATAGAAAATTACCACAACAGACAGGGATATTGAAAGTCCTGTCCCTTGCAGGCATACATCCAACATTGGGATCCAAACTAAAGCTTCCGCAGAACTTGGCCGTCCAGCCTCTGCTTAAAGATAGCCAGTTGATTTTAGTTCCATAAAAGCATATTCATCTGGTTTATCTGGCTTCCTGCAAGCCAATGCAATGACTCTGCCTCCTGACCTCTGGGATGACAGAAAGCAGTTCTTTGCCTTCTTTGGCCTGACATATTTTCTACAATGCTATCAATGAGGAAGACTCTTAAGGAAGTACTTTTGTACCTCTCTTGTACCCACATTAATAATTGGAAATTATTATTTATGCTATTAGTCCAGTGCAAAAATTAAAATTAGGGTTGGTTGTTTCACAAATGGTTGTTTCACCTCTGCCTGAACATCCAAAAGGTAATATATTTAAGGGCATAAAAGAGTGAGGTCTGCTGTTGAAGCTCATTTCAAAACAGCATTTGTAAGTTTCACCAACTATTATTAGACAAAGAAATAACTTCTTTTCTGAAGTACAGATATCAGCCCCTTCTTTGTTCTTGCATACTGGACAAATGCTCAAGATACTTAAAAGGCTAGCAAATAAATATGCGCTCACCAGGAAACCAGAACCAACCCCTGAGCACCCAGAGCATCCCAAAGCTTCACATTCACAAAACCATCTCCATGTATTTTCAAGTTCATTGTTAAGCAGACAGCTGAACCAGCACTTAGCAATGGTACATAATGGATATTCATTAAGGCTTAAAACATCCTAATTGAGTTGCCTGAGCATAAATTGTTGAAAGTGGCAGTGACCTTGGGACCAAAAAAAAAAAAAAATCATGCTAGAGAAGAACAAGCCAAGATAACTTGGATGAAAAAGAATTAGACTGCTGATATCTGAAATAATTCTGAAGTTGAACTTGACAATTAATTCAGAGTGGTGTGCAGTCAGTTTTCTAAAAATGAGTCTGAAGAATATGATAAGAATTAGGTTCAAAAGGAACTGCTGACAAACTATCAGACCCAGAGTTAGTATTAAGATCTCAAAGATCTACTATAAATACAGAAATCCCACCTGCCTTTAATCCCGTTTTCCCAGTTCAGTTTTTAATATTTGCCAATATTTCCAAATGAAACTCCAAGCTGTATTTTTGTGCTAGGTGAACTGAATGGCATGTGTATTTGGTCTGATCTCATACAGGGATTGACTGGGAGTGTACTGGATGCAAACTAAACTAGGTGGCTTTGCGTGTGTTAAGTCTGTCTTCAAGTTAGTGTTGACTCCTGATGACTGCCTGGACAAGTCTCTGTAGTTTTTCAAGTTTTTCCAAACTGGTTTGCCATTGTTTGCTTCCTAGGGCTGAAAGGGAATGATTGGTCCAAGATCACCCAGCTAGTTTCACCCTAAGCCAGCACTAGAACCCAGTCTTCCTATTTCTAGTTTGCTGCCTTAACTATTACACCAAACCTGATCTCTCAAACTGGGCACTATCCACAGGGAATTTATCTATCCTGGTAAAACTGGACTGTCATGGAACCCAATCATGAGAATATGCATGTTCCTATTATCTACTTCCTGGGACTGCATATTCTTGCCCTTGGTAAAATATTTACTGCGTGAAATGTTTGCGCTGCTATAGTCCCGGCATTATTGCTCCATCCAACAAGCAGATCATGGAACTACTCGCAGGCAGCTACCAATTTTCACCGTCTCCGGCTTGGGACAAGATGAAAGGAGTGAGGGTCTGGGGGAATTTTTTTCTTTTTTTCGGAGAAAGACCGGGTCCATTCAGGTGAACGGAAAAAGATCGCCCCAGCGCGCTTTCCAGGTTTTTTTTTTGGGGGGGGGGGGGTGACTCACGTGGGACGTTCCCAACAAGAGAGAGGGCACGTACCAATCCCAGACTCCCTCCTCTCCCTTGCACGTCCAGCACTGCCCGGGAGTTTTTCGTGCGCTTCGTTGGATCTCGCGTGTTCCCAGCCCGTGTCCCCGAGGGATGGCGAGGGAGGCGGCGGCACGAGAAGGAGGCGGGATCGAGGGGGGCGGGGGGGCAATGTGCCGCTCGCTCCCATTGGTACGTGTGCACGCTCCCGAGCGGCTTGTCCTCTGGTATCCGGTAGTGTGCGGCGAACATGGCATTTCCCGCACGGGGCCGGCTCGGGCAGGGCCACGCACAACAGCAGCGGCATACTGTCGCCCCGGTAAGGCGATGCCGGCCGCCAGACGGATCTGACTTGCCTGCAAATGGCCTCGGGCAGGGAAGCAGCCGGGCAGCCTCCGACCGAGCTCAGTGGCGACTCAGTGGAAAGCATGAGGAAGATTTTCATCGGTCACCCCGAAAGCAGCGAGGATGGGGACCGAGCCGGGCGAAAGGAGCAGCCGGACCGGCCGGCGAGGGGCTCCCTGGGAGCTCTCCTCTCCCCCGGCAACTCGGGCGAAGAGCGAGTGGTCGAGGGCGCGTTGCCCTCCGGCCCTTCGCCTTCTAAGCGGGCGCCCGTGCGAGAGCACCGCCGAGATGCTCAGAGGCTAGTCTTACACTATATAGTGCCTTGCATGAACGCCTATGGCTTGTGCGTGGTAGACCATTTCCTGGGATCCCGGATAGCCGAGAAAATCTTCCAAGAAGTCCTGGCTTTGCACTTGAGTGACAAATTCCAGGACGGAGCCCTGGCGAGTCAGAAACTGGGCAGCAACAAAGCCATCCGCGGGGACAAGATCTTGTGGGTAGAGGGCAGTGAACCAGGATGTGAGAACATAGGCTACCTCCTGAAAAAAATGGATAAGCTCATCATGTACGCAGATGGGAAGCTGGGGCATTACAAAATTAGAGGAAGACACAAGGTTAGTAGTTTCAGTATCCAGGACTTTGTTCTTCACTTACTACCAACAACTTTCCCAAAGTTTCTCATCTCGCTGTCATTTGGAGTCTGAACTCTTAGCTGTGACGTTCTGGGTCACTCTTGTATGTTTGTTTGTCTTGGCATTATTTTTCTCTTTTCTCTTCATCCGTTCGCTTTGTAAACGACAAGTTTAAGGATCGAATTCACACAAGATAATACGAGGTACACGTGATTGATTTCCGAACCGGACAAGAAAGGGTATTATCGCAACATCAAGAGCTCTCTCTTTCTCTCTCTCTTTCGTCTCACTACTTTTTCGGAAACATACAAATACACTTAATCGGAAATACATCTCGAAGATTTTTAATCAAAAGTTTCATCCTGTTAACTTTTTTTCATATTATTATGCAGCAAGAATCGGTTGTTTTGCTTCTTCTTTTAGATGGCATAGATTAAGATGCGGTATCCATTCGGTTAAAATCGTTAGGAGCCTTTTTGTGGATGCAGCATCTGCAACGAGGGCACTTAAAACGTGAAAATTAACCAACTAACCAACCAATTGTTGTGCATCTGAAAGGCTTTGTCTGCAGAAAGTCAGGTGTGGAAAAAAAGGAGAAGCCGCCTTCCGGGGGAAAAATGCTGAGCACTTGTAAACTCAACCCCTCTCGGTTAGGTTCAGTTGCCAAAAGAAACTCCCCTGTCACTTGCGCGCTTACACCCTTTCCCTCCCGTTTTGTTTACATTGGTATGTGACCCGTGCTAAAAGCGTACATGCTGGGGCAGAATTCCTCAATGGCGGAGACCACGCCCCCTCGGAGTGTGGTCTTCAGGCCTGCCAAAGCCCCAAGCCACGCCTCCTGCAGCCACGTGGCTCTTCGACTCCCCTCCCCCCACGCGGCAATTCCAACCGTGGATTGGGAGGGGCGCGGGAGGTGGGGGGGGCTGGAAGCGCCGTCCGAAGCCACACCTCGTCTCTTCGTTGATTGGCTGCGGCCGGGCTCCCTTTTGGTTGATGTGTGGGCGCGCGGCGGCGGGGGCTCCACCCCACGTGCCGCTGGCTGTAGAAGTTGGGAACACATCCTGCACGTAGCAGACGTATTAATCAGAGAGGGGGCCCATCTCCTTGCCTTGGTAAATAAATTGGAAAGGAGTTTGCCGGACGTGGCTCCCCAAAAGAGGGAAGTGATCGTATCAGCCAAAAGGGAGAGGGGGGAGTTGTTCACTTCTCACACTGATCTACACCGATAGCAAAGAGCTTCAGCAATTATCTGTCGGCTAAGGTGTTAACACTTACAGTAGGTGCAAGGCAGCCCCCGGGGGTGGGGGGAGTGGTGGAGTCGCCCTTCATTCCATTCTCCAGCCTTGCTCGAGTGGCTGAGACGGTGACCGCTGGCTGCCCGGAAGACCGAGTATTATTACTTCAGCAAAACTTTTTTGAGCGCTCCGCTCCGTTGCTTTCCCTGACACAGATCAATCAACTCCTTCCTGCCTGGTGGCGGTTCTCCATCCCGACATTCTAAGGGTTAGACACGCGTTAAGCGAGCGGCCGATTCGTTTTGTTAGAATAAGAACCGATGCACGCCTTTGGGACCGATCCAGTGCTCGATTGCTCGTTTGGACATTATTTAGAGGTGAGAAACTAATCGCGTCCCTGAAATGCCATTGGGCGATATTATGAGATTAGACTTGGAGAAAATCGCCCTGGACTATATTGTACCTTGTTTGCGCGATATTGGCTTTTGCTACTTGGACAATTTCTTGGGCGAGATAATAGGGGACTGCGTCTTGGAATGTGTGAAACAGATGCATTATAGAGGGGAGTTGCAGGATGGGCAACTGGCCGGCCAGCGCCAGGGCATCTCCAAGAGACACTTGCGAGGAGACCAGATAAAGTGGATCGCAGGCACCGAGGAAGGATGCGAGGCCATCAACTTTCTCCTGTCGCTGATAGATAGGTTGGTGATGTTTTGTGGCAGTAGATTGGGAAAATATTATGTCAAGGAAAGGTCCAAGGTAAGAGCTTTAAAAAAAAAAAAAGACGATGAATGTTTGACTGAAGGGCTTTATTTCATTCATTTCACTATTGCTCCTGGAATTGGTGATCTTAAAGTGCCACATAGAGAGCCATTTCAGCCTTTCTCTCTCTCATCTTTTAAAACCTTGAACTTAACTTTATCATACAAATAAGACCCATTGTGATGTCGAAGTCAGTTTAACAAATTTTGTATATTTAAATGTTGCATACGCTAATGAATGAATGTACAATTTGTGAAGTTAAGTTTAGTAATGATTATATTTAGTAAGTTTATAGTCTGAACGACAAATCTGCATATAGGCAGAGTATTTCTTTTGTTTGGGGTTTTTAAAAGTACTTGAACAATTGTAATACCAGCCCTGTAATAAATTTGTAAAAGTTTGCTGGTGCTGCTTTAGACAGCAACCTTATTTTGTTAAAGTTTGCAAAAGTCTGCTTCAACTAAACTTGAGTTTGCTCATTGTGCTCAGATATCAAGTGTTTATCAAGCTACTTTAGCTTGTCTTGAGGGATTAACTTTGTTATCTTTCTAATTTATCCATATATATTCCAATACAGTCCACTGCATACATAACTGAATACATAACTGAATACATAAACAGAATCCATAGTAATTAATACAATAATTGATGCTGCAGAATGTTTGTGCACAAGTTATTTTTTCTTGGTGTTTGAAGTTTGCTTTAATGTAACTCTTATACCACTTCAAATTTTTATTAACCTGTAAACAATGGGTGTTTACTTATAATAAGTACCTTGTAGTAAATGTGCTTAGGATTACTGACATAGAACACCCAGAGGTTCTTAGAAAGGTTAATAATAATTTATTAAATTTATTACAATGATCACACTGTAACAGAAAGGCCTGCTGTAGTAGCCATACTAGTATTTCCTCCCTTGCATCAAACTTTATTCACAAAGAATTTTCCAAAGCAAAGAAGTAGAAAAGTGAATTGTGTTACTTAAATGTTTGAACAAAATCATAATTGGACTCAAAAGCTTGTGTCTTTCTGCTAGTGACCGAATGAAACAGAATTTCTAAAGCTCTTTTTCTGTTAGTGATTTAGTCTACAGAATATAAAATTAAGCTTTTTAAAAGCTTCATTATTTAGGATCACAGGTGGAACTCTTGATCAGAATTTCATCTGCACATTTTTCTTTTTTCATTTTTTCTTCTTGACAATTAACATTCCAAAGCGACAAGTGTAGTAAGCACACTTATTGTGAACTAGATCCCATTGAATTCACTATAAAAGATGCTTAGAAGTATTGTGGACAGTATGTGCCTGGTTACTCAACCCATTATTTACAGTGTGAAGGTTTCCTAACCAACCAACCAGAAAAAAAAAGTCTGCTTGCATATAGTTGATTCCCACAGAGAACCTTGAGAAAACGATTTGCCTTGAAAAAATGGTTGACTGAATGTCTGGAAAGCAAGTTTTTGTCATTTGGCTTCTGGTTTAATTGATTTGGTTATTTGCAACAATTTACCCATCTGTCACAACATGTTGCAGCTGAGATTTTCCAGTAAATCTCCATTATTTTAAAAGGCGCTGTGTCACACACATACATATCCTCCTCAGATCACAGTGTTTAAATTGGTGAAATATAGATAAATATAATAATTTCAAATCCATTCTAAACATCTGTCTGGCTATGGGATGAACCAGTAAGAATAATATATTAAACTTGCATGCTGCCCAAATGACAAGGTGCAAATAATTAAAAATGTAAAAAGCTTATCCACCTGCCATCATATTATAATACCTAATACAGAAAAGACCCTCAATTTCATGTTCTTCCAATCACTTTCCAAATTAAATATAGCGCTCATAGTATATAGCTGATCTTTGCCTTGTAGGAACTAAACATTAATGTTCCATGATAGTAAATTCAAACTTCATTTATCCAGTTGACCTAATTATTATAGCCTAAGGACAATGCAGAACCTGTCATGCTGTCTAGCCCTAAAAATGGAAGGGAAGAGAATGTCATCCATGATGTAAATAATGCACATTATCACAGGGTGTTCTTGATTTCCTTAGCTTGCTGAAGAAATGGCATAGTCATCCTCTGGTCACAGTGGTGCAGTTTCCATCATCTGGTGTCTTCTTATTGTGTTGGGATCACATCTAGAAGTCTCAGGCAGGATGGGAAAATATTAATTAGAATCTCGACTATAAAATGTAAGGGGTGTGACTTTATTTTAACCCAATAATTTTTTAATGAACAACACTTGAAAGACGTGTCTAAGTTTTGCTTAAAGCTATTCCTAAGTGTTGGAATTTTAAGAAGAATCAAATGTACATTGCAACCAAAGGTTGTTTATATTTGTATTACCGTGTTTCTCACGAAATAAGGCTGGGCCTCATTTTTTTTGACCCCTGAAAAAACAGCTAGGCCGTCTTTTCGGGGGTGACTTAATTCCCTCCCCCACCTAGAGCGGCCCATATGCACGTACCTCGCCGCGAGGCTGCTTCTATCGACCGACGAAAGCTCACTGAAGGCAGAGTCCCCAGCTGCTTCAGGACGTGGCGTGGCTGCCCATGTCCCCTTGCCTTTAGGCAGTCTCTTTCGGGTGATGGAAGCTCCCCAAATACAGTCAACAGCCACTTCGATCGGCCGGTAAAAGCGGCCTCGGGGCGAGCGCGCATACACACTCCCCTCGCTGCGAGGCCGCTTCTACCGGCCGATCGAAGTGGCTGTTGACTGATCGAAGTGGCTGGTGACTGCATTTGGGGAGCTTCCATTGCTCGAAAGAGACTGCCTAAAGGCGAGGGGACATGGGCAGCCATGCCTTGCCCCGAAGCGGCTGGGAACTCTGCCTTCAAGGGAGCTTTTGTCTGCTGATAGAAGCGGCCTCGCGGCAAGGGGAGTGTGTGTGTGTGTGTGCGCTCTCCCCGAGGCCGCTTCTACCGGCCGATCGAAGTGGCTGATGACTGCACTTGGGGAGCTTCCATCTCCCGAAAGAGACTGCCTAAAGGCAAGGGGACACAGGTAGCCACGCCACGCCCTGAAGCGGCTGGGGACTCTGCCTTCAAGGGAGCTTTCGTCTGCCAATAGAAGCGGCCTCGCGGTGATGGGAGTGTGTGTGTGCGCTCACCCCGAGGCCGCTTCTACCGGCCGATCGAAGTGGCTGGTGACTGCACTTGGGGAGCTTCCATCGCCCGAAAGAGACTGCGGTAAAGGTGAGGGGACACGGGTAGCCACGCCACGCCCTGAAGCGGCTGGGGACTCTGCTTTCAGGGAGCTTCTATCGGCTACCGGGGTATTCTAGCCTAGGCTACCTGCAGGGCACTCCTCAAGGCAACTTTTCTCCCCATCCTCCCCCGCCCTTCCCCCCCCCATTTCTCTTCACCTCGTGTAGTTCTAACGAACGATGTGAGAAATGGCGGGGAAACGCATGGTTTAAATAGGCCTAAATTTTGGGGGCGGGGCTTAATTTCACCTCATGCCTAGAAATCATGCTGGGCCTTCCTATTGGTGGAGGCCGTATTGTTGGAGAAACACGGTAGAAATTTGTTACATTTTCACTAGGAAGTATTTATAAAATTTTGCAAATTTAAAATAACTATTTTGAATGGACTATGATCTTGGGAACAAGTGTCTTTGTACTTTGGTAAGATTTTGTTCTGTCTAGGTACGCCTGACGTTGCATAGTTATAAAACCAATCTGGAAATGTTTATGCAAAACCAGTACTAGCAAGTAGTAATTATGGTAATGTTTTCCATTTCAAAAAGCCAAGCATAAGCAGGTATAATATCTGTTACTAAGAAGTATAGTTGAAAGCATAAGTGTCATATTGTTCCAGACATGATATTATTCCGATTAAAATCGGAATTCCGATTTTTTGGGGAATCGCCCGGGCGGGCGGCGCGGGTAGGCGGAGGGCGGGTGGGCGGTGCGAGCGGCGGGCGGTGCGAGCGACGGGCGGCACGGGCGGGCGGTGCGAGCGGCGGGCGGTGGGGGGTCTCTTTTGGCCGGCCCCGATTTTTTTTTCAGAGGGGAATATCATGCCTGTTGTTCTTAGTCTTAAATAAACTAAGGTCAAATTTTATACAGGCACAGAAGTCAACATTTCCTATTAAAAGTAACCCATAAAAACAAAATAATTATGTCCTGATCACCTAATCTTCATCGTTTTTACATACTGCTATACATCAGCTTAAAAAATGCTGGGCATGTATATTTTATTTTTTTATTGCATTTATATCCCATCACAGTGAAAAGTGAAACTTGGTGGATCAAATGCTTTTGGTTAGTTCTCTCTTGACATTAACTGAAATAATATTGGCTTGTTAACAAATCCTAGGAGACGATTAAGGCCTGCTTGCATGAGTTTCTAAAGAAATCTAATTCGCCGTAAGTGTGAAAAATGGTCATAAGTCCCTTTTTTCAGTGCCGTTGTAACTCTGAATGGTTATTAAACAAATGGTTGTAAATTGTGGCCCACCTGTAGTAAGTATGGATAAGGTTTGATGTGAGCAAGTTTTTAAAACAACTAAATCTCAATGAATTAAATGAATGTAAGATGGTCATAATTCTCATCTCAACTTCAGTATATCAATTTGTGGAAACTTGTTTTGGATCCAACTCATAATGGCTGTTTCTCCCCATTGGTAGCTGTGCATATCTTGAAGAATCATTGTGACTGTTAAATCTCATAGAACTGTAAGCTTCAGAAGCGTGAATGTGTTTCTCTTTTGGGCTTAAAATTTAGTGGCAATGTGAACAAGATTCAATATTGCACTACTGAAGATTTAACATCTTTGAAATTACTATTGTTTACTATAAGTCCCAAAAGGGTTTCATATTTGGAAAGCGACATTGCAAATAGTTTACAGTAGATGATCCTGGAGAAATATGCACAGTTTGTCTTTCTTTTTCTAACCAAGAACACATGTAATTGCCCGGTGTTCATCAAACTGGACCAAAATCACTAGAATTGTAAATAGAACACAAAAATCATTTTATTAT